TTTTTTTACAGTAGCTATTTCATTTAAAACAAGTTTTCGTTGTTGTTCTAAATGTTGTCGAAGATGTTTAAGTGTTTGAGACATATCATTTGAACTTCCATTTGAATAGTGATCGTGAAGAAAATCAATAAAATTTGTATTAGTACTCATTGATTTATTTGATAAAAAAAGAAAATTCATGAAATAACTAAATATTTTCAAATTGTTATATTGGTAAAAGGATGTAATGCAATCGTACAATACGATTGTAGAGGTCACTGTTAGTTTTCTCTCGATCGTTTTCAAGAGTACTGGAGGACTATTCATTTTTCGATGTGTAACTAAATTCAATTGTTTTATCAGTATTTACGAGCCAATATTCTCGTCTATTTCTGATCCCAGAGAACGTTCTCTAGATCTACAGACAATCTACATTAGCTGCTAGATTTTATAAATATCCTGTGTTTTGTACCAGACTTGGCAGAAAGTCTATGTTGTATACAAGGGCATTTAGCACGATTCAATTTACTTAGACAACTTCTTTGAGATGCGCATATCTACTGAGAGTTAACTTTTAATAAATGCTCTTAGTGACTTTGTCATTATCTTCTACCAATTACTCATTATTCTCTTTCTTGTGTCACCATACAATTAGTTATTTCTGATGTTCATGTAAAGGATCTCTTACGTTAGTTTCTTGTTCTTTGATATGTTATAGTTAGAATATGCAAGATAAGAGAACAAAATTTCTAGCCTTCTCTCCCTTGTTCTCATCTCTCTATCCGTTTATATAGAGAGCCGACTGGTGTTTTAGAATAGCTCATGTGTCACTTGATATAATGGACTTTTCGAATTTTCGAGTTTCGGCAAAGAAATTACTGATGATGGAGTAGATATACAAATTTGTTGTAAACCATGCTATCATTCCGTGAACATCTTGAACGATCATTACGCTTTGATAGTCTATTTGAGAATCTAGAACCTAGTCCAAGTCAATAATTAACAAGTCGTTCAAAGTGCACACTTGAAGAAAAGCAACAATCTATGTGCAATTCCTGTAGACACCATACTCGCTACTTTGAAAAAGAATCAAGCAGCAACATTTAAGAGAAGGAAATCATGCGGCAGCAAAGAAAATTAAAACTTTTTATTCCGATTGTTTTCATGAGAAGCATCACACAATGTAATAAATAATTAAATAGTAACAGTAGCAGAACAGATGACACGTTCTTGTGTGACGCTTGATTATTAAAAAAAACAATGGAAAAATTGTTTTTCTAATGAGTTTTTTTTCTAAATAAAGTAGTACCCACCGATGGGTTCACTATTTTGCACTTTTTGACAACTTTGTCAAAAATATAAACATCACGAAAAATTTCGCAGACACCAAATAACTGCCCAGAACTAGTCCCCAGCACACTGAAGAGCCTGGTTTTGATTACAGAAGGAACTGTTGTACTTTTATTGACATATTTAATGAGTACCATACCAAATATTTAATTAATGGAAGATACGAATTAAGTATTTAATCTACTGTATGAGATTATCTTCTAATAAATGTTCTTTGTAGATTTTATAATAACAATGAAAGTTTCTTAGACCTCATTGAAACATTAGAACTATTTAAAGATTTTTAATCATAAACTAGGTAAGCAAAGTTATATAAAACAAACCATTTATTAATTAAGATCCGGCATCGTGCATCTGTTCACAAATAAAAGAAATGTTTCCGGAGAAAAACTAAAGTAAAACAAAGATAATATACTCAAGAGAAATCGAGATAGACTTTCAAGGACAACATTTCTCTCGTGTTCATTTCTGACAATTATATATAAATGTTAAGTAATCATTCGTGTCTTTTTTCTTTCACATCAAATGTTCATAAAGGTAAACTTTTATAGATTCAATTATACTCAAGTTTTATTTTAATGAATAAATTCGAAATCAAACATCTTTTCACCTGAAATCATTGGTAAGAACGAAAATCAAGTGTTGATTTGACATTTTAAGCATTAGTTTTTTCGTTTTTTTCTAAATTTATTATTTCTCCTTAAAGAATTACTATAAGAGTTTAATCTAATAAGTATAATCAGTTATTTTACTTATGAGGATTTATCAGAGATTTTTTAAGTAATCTGAAGTATTAAATTTTATGAAGAAAATCAAAATAATTATTAATAGTACATTTTTTCTATAAAAAAGTATTTGACACGTATTATATTGAGTTAGTGCGCCACCTAGAAGAAGATATAACTCGTAAACGTTTTCTACGAATAAAAAAGAATAGAAATAAACAATGAATGAATATTAAATACAATCATCATCCATCAGAAAAAAATAAAAATTATTTCCCATTAATTTAATGGAATTTCTTGAATGTGTAAAACTTTATGCCAATAAACCAACAAATTCTCTTGTGAATACATCAACTAATAAACCTGAAATAATCGATTGGAATGAACGTTTACAGAAAATACGTGGTTCAATAATACATCAATTATGTCGATTAAAAATTGAAGAAGAATGCCTACGAAATTTAGCTTTAAAAAATGAACAAACAAAACGTGCACATTCAACAATAACAGTTTCAACAGCAGATAATATTCAACAAGATTTTCCTATTAATAATTCTAAACGTCATTGCACAATTCCTTCAAATAATTTTGATGTTGAATTAGTTAATTTTGATCCTGAAACTATTAATCAGACTCAATTAGATCTTGATGATTAATACATATATATATTTAAATATGTAAACTAGATTTTTTCTGTTTATTTTTTATTTCAGATAATCGACCACATATTATTTGTTCATGGTTTAGGAAGTGGTCGGCATTTGTTTTTTTTTCCTCATAGTAATAAAATATGGCTACGAATACAGAACCCACATCAAATCAAGGAAGAACTGGATCGTCTTCATCTCAGAATTATTATGATTTACTTGGAATAACACCACAAGCGACAGATGATGAAATAAAACGTGCATATAGAAAAACAGCTTTACGTTTACGTTAGTTTTTTGTTTTCTCATATTCATTATAGTATTTTTAAATTGAAATTCTAGATCCTGATAAAAATCCTGACCCAGATGCAGCTGCTCAATTTCATGCAGTTGATAAAGCATATAAAATTCTTATTGATCCGAAATTAAGATCAACTTATGATCAATTGGGACCACGAGGTATGACTAGTTTTCTCATTCATTTGATAGTAAAAATTCAATTAAATACATATGTATTTATTTTTCTAGCTGCTGATGCAATGCGTCGAATGAACGATGGTAAAAAATTCAAAGCAAAAACGATTTATATGTATTAAATAATTTATTTTAGAATATTCTGAAGCATTAGCTCAAATGCCTCGTTGGAAAAAAATTCTTTTTGCATTTTTATGTATCAGTACATGTTGTTGTTTCGGTGGTGGTTTTTGTTGTCTTTGTGGTTGTGGTTGTTGTTGCAATTTTTGTTGCAATCGTTGTTGTGGCAAATATAAACATGATGATGAAAATCTATTTACATCATTTCGAGTAAGATATAAAAAAACATCTTTTAAAAATAACCTTTTTTTTTTCAATTTTCATCTTTTATAGGAAGATGATGACATGCCTAATGTTCATGTTCAAAAAAATGCTAATGTAACATCACCCACAGTAATTATAACTAGTCCACAAGAAACTGATCCAGTTCTTGGTACAACTGATCAACATACAGCTATTCCGATGCCTCCATCATATGAATCAATATCAGTAACAAATCAATAGTGACACAATCAATCTTATATTATCATGGATTATTTTTTTAAAAATACGGCATTCCGATTTATTCAATTAATTCTTTTTCTTTTCTTGGTTTATTCGCAAATGGTATTTCATAAGATGTTTTTCTTTTTGTTCGTCTTTTTTTCTTTGGTCTGTTGTCAACATTTAACTCAATTGGTTTGTTAGCTCTATTTTATACATAAAACAAACATATCGTGCATGAATCTTTTCTTTTTTTTTTATTTGAAAATTTTATAATCACGATTAATAATGAATATCGCGGTGATGATCATGATGATCATAGTGATGATGATGGTGGTGATCATGATGATCAGGGTGAGGACGTCGGTGTTTATGCTTTCGAATAGGTTGTCTTTCTTGAGTTCTGCCAGTATCATACGTTTCAGTACCTGAGCAAGCAAACCAACTTGTTTCCATTGGTTTACCAAATGTTTCCCAATCATTTATTTGCTCACTCCATATATAAACAAGATGAGTGTCCGAAAAAAAATAATGTGAATTTCCATAACTAAATGCTGTTTTAACCGAGCCAGTAAAACCAGGAAATTTTACACTAATATCCTGTTCCTTAGATACTCGACCACGTTTATCTGTTTGAAATGAACGGATCGTATGTGGTGTAATAACATAAATTTCGTTTTTATAATATATTGCACCGACGATTGAATTATATACATTTCTTGGTAGATCAGTTTTTGTTTTATATTTTACAAGATCGTCACTACCGATCTCGTACATAAGGGCATTTTTATCTGTAAAGAAAACAATTTGTTTTGCTCCAGTATTAAATACACCAGCTGCTAATTTATTTGGTAAATTTGGATATATTCCTGTGTATGTTTTTGCTTGATTGTCCCATCGTTTTTCGTCTGTTAAATAACGCCAGAGTACACCAGCATCGAAAGCATGTAATGTACCATCAGGATGTTTGAAAGCAGCATCAAGAAAACGACGACAGCGAGGATGTGAATTTCCACTAGAATTTGGAACTGTATATCTTGCAGTTGAAGTTGTTTTTGTAGTTGAAGTTGTTTTTGTAGTTGAAGTTGTTCTTGTAGGCCAAGTTGTTCTTGGAGTTCTTGATGTAACAGTAGAGTCCTTTTTACCATATAATTTTTGAATATCAGTACGATCAACTTGTGGAAGAATACTTGACTTTTGCATTAGTTTATAGGATGGATACATAATAGATTGTTCATCGTATTTATGATCTAAACCAAGTGCATGACCAATTTCATGTACAGCGACTATATATAAATTTATATTGGTATCATCAAAACTATAAGAATAGATATAAATTAAATTTTATATACAGAAATAGAAAATGCAGAAGATAAGGACAAGTTATATTTATGAGAGAGATCAGTTAGGAATAATATTCATGTTTACAATATGTTTCACACGAACAAAGATAAATACATTAATTTTTTTTAATCCGCAAAAAAATGACTAATACTTATTTTTTAATAATGTTTTTTTTGTACCCATTATCTGTATTACGTCATCAAAGCATAGAATATGTATTCTTAAGGTTATATCTCTTTGAAGATCAAATTTCAATGGGATTAATCCCTCGCAAAAAAACTTTATCAAACTCACCTTTCTGTCCATGGTTCTGCTGTATCGAAATGTACACCACCATTTTCAGGAAAAAAAGCATGTGCTAATGTTCCACCAAATCCATCGAATGGATAATCATCTCCATGTCCTACTTCTCCAAATTCCAGAACAAAATCTGCTTCACAATCTGAACATACTGGCTCAATGTTTAATGGAATATGATCAGTCCAAGCCTTGAATGCATCACGTATAATATCATTTGTATTTGATTTACTTATTTGTGTTGGATAACTAGCTATGGAATATGTTAATGATGAACGTGACCATTTGCTAGTTAATTGAGCCATAATTCTTAATTCAGATTTTCCTTTATCATGATTACCACAACGTGATCGACTCATTTGCTTTTTAGTTGCTTCATCCAATGATCCAGTTTGTTTTAGACGAAATTTGGTTTGATACTCTTTTATCATACTTGAAAAACTTATACTGCATTGAACAGTAGAATTAAAACAGGGATTATAACCATATTTATTAAAAAATGTTAAAGCATCGTCTTGTGATTTAACTTGATTATTCGCAGATGATGCTGCCTCGATCAAAATGAATAACACAATACTAATGATTTGTTTCATTTTTTTTCTGATTGTAAATATTACGAATATACAAAGCGTTTTTATACATATAGATTGTATAGTCTTATCTTGATTAGTTATTAAACAAAATGTCTTCTCAAATTTCATTTCGTATCATCATGAATCATAGTTTGATTACATTTTTCACTTTTTTCTTTCTAGATGTTTGGAACAACAATAAATGGATCATCAATTCAAAGTAGATAATAAAGATTTAAACTATAAATGAAAAAACTTTATTATTTGATTTAGTCGAATGTAAAAAACGATTATTTGATGAAGATAATGTTACACAAAAAGAAAACGAAATTATTGAAATTAAAGAACGAAGTTCGATTAAAAAACAAAAAATCATATGTATGTTAATCAATGATATGAAATTTTGTCATATAAATTGTTTATTTCATAGCAACACGTTACCATTGTCAAATACCAAATGAACCATTTGTAGTATTAACAAGTCATCGTAATGAACGTTATTATTTATTAGTACGTGATGATGATGATGATTGTTTTAAGGTAATATTTTTAAAAAACAAAAGAAAACAACATTGTTTATTTTCTCATTAGTTTTCATTGAATAATGGAAATAAAACAAGTCTTCTTAAAGTATCAGTTGATGAAATTTTAGAAAAGAATATTCGTGCAGTAAGTGAAATAATCTAATTAAACTAAATATTAAAATTTGATTTTAATTAGGAATTAGAAGAAATCACAAAAACAATTGATAATCCCTCGACAATAACAATAGAAAATGAGTAATATAGAATTGAATATATATTCAATACGAGAATATTTTTCTTTAGAAATCAATCAACTTTATCAACTATTAATGAATATACTGATGAATTATGGGTTGAAAAATTCGCACCTCGTGCTTTTTGTGATTTACTTAGTGATATCGTTAGTTTAACATATATTTCTTTCATTGTTATTCTCTTGTTGATTTAGGGTATCAATCGAACATTATTAGAATGGCTCAATCTTTGGCAATATTGTAGGTTTATTCATATATTATTCTTATTGATTTATTCATATTCTATTTTAGTGGTCTATAAAAAAGATATATCTCATTTTCGAACAATACAAACACGTCATCAGCAGATAGCATCGAATGAATTGAATAAAGATAAAAATAATTCAAAAGGAATAATACATAAAAGAGTGTATCCATCAGATATTCAATTTGAATTAGATACTTATAAACGACCGCAACAAAAAGTTGCTTTACTTTGTGGTACACCAGGTGCTGGGGTATGTTGTTATTAATATTCTTTCAAATATAGATATATATTATTTATTATTTAGAAAACAACTCTTGCACATGTTGTTGCTAGACATGCAGGATATAATGTTATTGAAATGAATGCTAGGTTTTTATTCTGATATAAAATATTTTTTTTTTTTGTATTATTTTTTTATTTATTAGTGACGATCGGAGTATCGAATTATTTCGTACACGACTTGAAACAGCAACACAAATGCAAGAAGTATTGAGTAAAGAATATAAACCAAATTGTCTTTTAATTGATGAAATCGATGGAGCACCAGCGGTGAGTCTGATTTCGGGTCTAAATGATATTGAGATTTGCGATACATGTTGTAATAGAATAAAAGATAATTGTTTGTATATTATTTAGCCATCTGTTCAATTACTTGTTGATTTAATTTCTCGTATGCCGGTTGATCAACAACAAGCAAGTGGTAAAACAAAGAAGAATAATTCGTTTTTTCTTCTTCGTCCAGTTATTTGTATTTGCAATGATTTGTACGTTATCTAATAAATCCTTTTTTTGTTATCTTTATTATTTTCTATAATATAAATAGATATGCACCTGCTCTAAAACCACTTCGCCAAATCGCACTTATACTTAATTTTCCACGTATTGAACAAGCTACACTTGCAAAACGTTTATTAACCGTAATAAAAAAAATCGTTTATTTTATTTTGAATAAAGTTACGAATTATTTTTTAGATATCTGAACAATTGAATATTCAAAGTGATTTAATTACATTAAATAGTTTATGTGCAAAAGCAGGATGTGATATACGATCATGTCTTCATTTCATGCAAGTATGTACAAAATTAATTTTATTGAATTGATATAATTTCGACTATTTCCAGTTTGTTGTTACTCAAAAAGATAGAACAATAACAAAAAAAATCGTTGAAAGTACAGCTGTACTTGGTGTTAAAGATGCGCAAAAAAATTTATTTGAAATATGGACGGAAATTTTGCAAGTACCAAAATCGACAAAGTTAGTTAAATTATTATATGAACAAAGAATATTTTTTGTTTGTAATGAAATAGAACACAATTAACTCTTCAACTAGATGATCCACTCAAACGTTCAGGCAAAGTATCATTAGCAAGGTAAGTTCTATTGTCAAATTATGTAAAACTGAAATATTGTTTTTAGACGTTTACAATTGGCCGATTTAGTTTCAAGTATTGGTGCTTATGATCGTATTTATGATGGTCTATTTGAACATTATCTAACTCTTCATTTTCACGATCCGAAATTAACTTCGGTAAGAAATAAATCTATTTTTTTAGATGCAACTTTATCGATATATTTGTTTAGATCGATTATGCTAATAGTTGGTTATTATTCTATGATAGAATGAATACGGAAATGTATACACAACAAAATTATTCATTTTGGAGATATGCACCTTATCCAGCTCTAGTATTTCATCTTTTATTTGTTACACATCGTCCTATTCAAATGAAATACCCACAAAAACAACTTGAAGTAGCTCTATTATTTTTGAAATAAATTCAATCATAATTTATTTTCATGTAGATGCAAAATAAATTACGTACAAATACAACAGCAATCGAAACAATGTTACATGATATAGTACCTAGTCTTCGTCAATATCTTGATAAAGATATTCTTATACTTGATATTCTTCCTTATATGCTTGAAATTCTTCAGCCTCGTCTTCGACAAGTAAATATATAGAATAATATTATAATAAAATTCATGTTGGAATATTTAGACCAACATTGCACTTTTTACTAATAAAGAAATGCGAGATATCAAAACATTAATTGATGTTATGATTAATTTTAATCTATCGTATATTCAACAACGAGCAGCAACTGGTGAGAATATACTTGTACTTGAACCGTGAGTTTTGTATTTGAAATTATAACTTATATTGTTTTTTATGTTTATTACTGAAGACCGATTGATACAGTGGCTTATTTTTCTGGTTCAGCTGAAAAACGTGGTTTATCATTTGGTACACGTCAAATGATATTTAAGGAATTACTTAAAGAACGTGTCAAACGAAATATTCGTCTTAAATCAGATAAACAAGAAATGCCAGTATTGGTCAATCGTCAAAATGATGCAGCACATAAAGCGTATGTTATTTGTTTTTTGTTATTTTCTATATAAAAGAAATTTATTGTATTGATAGAAAACCTCTGACAGCCATTCTCAAATTACAACCAAAAACAATTTCTACAAGTACAACAAATGTACGTATGTTTGTATTTAATTTTGTATGATATTTAATTTTTTTTCTTAGGCTCCACGAGATTTTTTTGCTAAATTTAAACTTGGCCCAAAGAAACCACGTACAGCATCTGAATCATCAGATCACACTGATTCAACGATTAAACC